GCCCATAAAAGCCTGGGGCTGAGAACTAGGAGAGGCATCGGTTGACAAAGGTATTTGTCGACCGCCCAGTAAACCTCATCCCACGAGGCACACCGGGGAGGTTGACAAACGCCTTTGATGTCGACCGCGGAGCGTCCAGACTACAGCAGAGCCGACAAACAGCTGATCGGCTCAGCACGGCAGCAACTTTAATTTAAATTAAGCCACGATTATTTAAATCACGGCTTCATTTGGGCATGTCTAGTAAACTAATCTACTTGGCTCTGGCGCCAGAACCATGTAATATAGACACACCCCGAGTGTCTCAAGCAGGCTTAAAGAAGTGGGGGGAGGGAGAAACGGATGGGAGCCAGAAGGTAGTTTGCTTTGTGCTCACTCCCCCAGACACAAGGGACCAGGCTAGTGCCAAGTGATGTACAAATGTTAACAAAAACTCTAGGGCTACATCTAGACTGGCATGATTTTCCGCAAATGCTTTTAACGGAAAAGTTTTTCCCATTAAAAGCATTTGCGGAAAAGAGCATCTAGATGGGCATGGACGCTTTTGCGCAAAAGCACTTTTTGCAGAAAAGGTCCGTACCAATCTAGACGCGGTTTTGCACAAGGAAGCCCTGATCGCCATCGGGTTACCATCTGTCTACACTGGCCCTCTTGCGCAAAAGCATTTGCGCAAGAGGGCTTATCGCTGAGCGGGAGCAGCATAGTATTTGCGTAAGAACACTGAATCTTACATGAGATCGGTGTTCTTGTGCAAATTCAAGCGGCCAGTGTAGACAGCTGGCGAGTTTTTCCACAAAAGCAACTGCTTTTGCAGAAAAAAAACTTGCCAGTCTAGACGCAGCCGAGCTGTTTTGCAAGAGCCGATATCCCAGCACAAGCCTACAGCAAAGCTGGGCCCTGCACAGGGTAAGGACTCCCCACGATGTGAGCAGAAGAGAAATGTGGCGTCCTGAAGGCTCCAAGAGGGGACACTTCCAAGTTCGCGCTCTGAACAGTCGCCTGCAGCCCCCCGTGGAGCAGAAGTTGTTTGAGAGCTGCTGTGTGTGAGGCTGTAACACAATCCTGTCCAGCTGCTAATCACTAACCTGCAAAGTTGGGTTCAACGGCTCTCGGCACAAGTTGTTCCAGCCCTTCTGACATCGACTGACCACACCCGGAAGGCCGAGGGGTTAGTAGCTCTTGGGCTTGCTAGACTGGGGCAGGAGAACCTGACACTCACCAGGGGAAGGCACCCAAGCCCACTAGGGAAAGGGTGGGTCGGTGAGTCCAGCTGCTAATCACTAACCTGCAAAGTTGGGTTCAACGGCTCTCGGCACAAGTTGTTCCAGCCCTTCTGACATCGACTGACCACACCCGGAAGGCCGAGGGGTTAGTAGCTCTTGGGCTTGCTAGACTGGGGCAGGAGAACCTGACACTCACCAGGGGAAGGCACCCAAGCCCACTAGGGAAAGGGTGGGTCGGTGAGGAGATGCTGAGGTTAGACACACTCAAGTCAGATGCAATTCATGCCGGGCAGTTAAGGAACTAAGTGAGGCCAGTTATCAGAGAGTTATGGCAAACAGGCGAGGTACCGAGGTCCTGGGGAAGGTGAACGTAACACCTGGCTTGAGAAGGGAAATGGAGAAGCTGGGAGTAGCACCACTCAGCCCAACTTCAACACCTCAAAAGTCAGTGGGACAAGCCAGTGGGTTAGCGGATAACGGGGTTATACGCAACGGTCACTCCGCACCCAGCGAGATCAGTCCTGACCAGCGGCGCCCAACCTTTGAGCATGCGGACCCCTTTTCAATCTATTAAAGTTTATGGAACACCCCCTCCCCCAACCCCAGAGAGAGGAAGACAGATCAGGTCCACAGTGGGCCCCCAATCATTACATTTTAAACTTTCCACGGAGCCCCTGCAGCACCGCAGGGGGACCACCAGGGGTCCGCAGACGACAGATTGGGAACCACCGGTCTTGACAAGCCAACCCAACGTCTTCCTTTGACGGGGCGCAGCGGCTGAGGGAGAAGCAGTAAACAGGCCGCCTCTATCCTAGTCAAGCTTTCGACAGTCTCACACGATGTTCTCATCAGCCGGCGAGGGAAATGTCTCCTAGATGATATTACTGCAAGGAGGGGCCCAGCTAACAGAGTGGCACACGGCGTGGTTACTGTCACTCATGGGTGGTGGCTAAAGACCCGGCTGGGGGAGCCAAGCCCCAGCCCCACCCTTTCTGCAACGGTCCCCTTCCCAGTCAAGCCCCACCCAACCCCAGCCGGCTGCTGTGGAGCGTAGGCAGTCCCTTCCCTTGCCGACGTCACCGGCCGCCAGGCCCTCACACCGGGAGGCCATGCCTCATGGGTTCCTGCAGGCAGAGCCCATAGGGCAAGTCGGGGCAGCCAGCCCCGGTGTTTGGAGGTCCCACAGCAGCCACCTCAACTGCTCTGTGGATGGCAGAGACCCAGGGGATTATGGGGGCTTGGCATGAGGCAACAGGGGTCACCCCCACACACACCACACAGGCAGCAGGAGCTGGAGCGGCCTGGGAGTCTGCTCTGCCCCACCTGCCAGCTTCTCCATGGCAGCAGGAAGCCGAGCGCCCCGGCCCTAGGACACTGCTTCCCGCTGCTGCAGAGGAGCAGGCTGCTCCAGCTCTCGCCACGCACATAGTGAGTGCGGGGAGAGGGGACCCCTGCTGCCGCCATGGCAGGCCCTCAGTGCCCCAGGCTGTGTTGCTCAAGGGAGCAGGTAAGAGGGCGGAGCAGGGATGGCGCCAGGGTGGGGCTTAGGGAAGAGGTAGAGCAGGGGCAAAGCCTGCAGCAGGGTGATGGTCTCAGACCCCACACATGCCCTCTCCTCCCCCCCAACAGCCCTGGCTGCAGGGCCCAACTAGGGGTCCAGAACTGGTCAATATTTTCTGTGATGACTGATAATGGAGCAGAGACCCCGTTGACACATCTGCAGATGACACCAAGCTGGGAGAGGGAATCACTAAACACTTCAGAGGCCAGGATCGGAATGTAACACAACTTGGATAAACGGGAGGATCGGTTTTTGTCTGGCTGATACCAATCAAGTGCTAAGTAGGAAGGAAAAACACCAAACACACGAGCACCACTACAAAGTGGGACTAACCCACAGGGCAGAGTTACGGGATCACACAGTGAAGGAGTCAACAGCAAGCTGGAGCTGCAAATAAAGGCCAATATTCCCACTGTCACATGCAAGACAAAGGAGGCAACAGCGTCAGCAAGGTCTAGGGATGTAATCGTGTGGTCGATTAACCAATAAGCAAAAGCTTATAAAGTAATGCTATAACTACAGGCATTTCCACCCCAACCAGTGGATTTTTAAGCAGGCTGGCCGGCAGCCTGCCTCAGGTCAGGGACCTACCCCCACTGTGGCTCTGCATTTAAAGTGTATTAGGAGCCAGGCAGCCCAGCTCAGATCCAGTTCGCAACAGGTCCAGGAGCGCAGACCCATCACCTCTCTCCCGCTGCCTCTTTATCAGAGGCAGCAGCACAGGGCAACAAGCAGCTGGGCCACAAAAGGGGCTGGTTTTTAAACTGGCTCCCCTCATGGACTAGCTCGTGCCTGGCACCCCACACTGCTGCCAGCCCTGTCCCTGGAAATTATAGAAGAGTCAACTAACCGATAAGAATTCATGAGGTTAATCGACTATTCAGCTCGCTGATATTTAACATCCCCAGCAAGGCCCCAGCTGTGTTTCCATATCACACAAAGAGAGCTGTGGACAAGCTGGGAAGAGCCCAGAGGAGAGCAACCAAGACGACCAAGGTAGGACACCTGACCTCAGAGCAGAGGGTAAATGTTTGGCCTTTCCAGGGGGCTGCATGGGGAACCTGAAAACAACCATCAAAAAACATACGGGGTGTTAACGACAACAATCGAGTGCTCACCCCAGCCACTGAAATTAGAGCAATTAGCAATTGGCTTAGTTTGCCACAGTGACGAAGGTTTCCCCAGTATCTGAAGGGCAGCTAGACCCCAGAACAGGTTTATCTGGCCCAGTGACAGCACAAGGGGCTGAGCTGGACAGCCGGGGGAAGGTTTTTAAATGACTTTTACTGATCCGGGGACCAGGAGCAAGGCCCCATAAGGGGCAGGGCTGGGGGCCAACCTCCCCTCACCAGCCCTTCAGGGCCCATGTCACCTGGCACTCCAGCAGCAGCTTAGAGAGCCCAAGGATCCAGCCGTCGGGCCCCAGGGCAACTGCCCACGTCTCCCCCTCAGCAGCCCCAGAGGGGGTGGGGAGGGCAGCGCTTTACTGATCCGGGGACCAGGAGCAAGGCCCCATAAGGGGCAGGGCTGGGGGCCAACCTCCCCTCACCAGCCCTTCAGGGCCCATGTCACCTGGCACTCCAGCAGCAGCTTAGAGAGCCCAAGGATCCAGCCGTCGGGCCCCAGGGCAACTGCCCACGTCTCCCCCTCAGCAGCCCCAGAGGGGGTGGGGAGGGCAGCGCCTGTG